CGGGTAGTTAGCATCCTTTGGATATTTCTCCAGGTCATGCCAGTGTATTGGGAAATGAGCAGGCAGATAGACTGGCCAGCTCTGCACCACTTGGTGGTGAATTGATGTATGACAAGCTGGATGTTGTGACGGCCCTATGGAGCGAGTGAACAGTGCGGAGGCACATATAGATCATTACGATCTAAGGAGAACCGACGCTGCGAGGCGTTACCAGAGAATTTGGCCGACGCTAAACACTTATGGAAAGAGCAAGACGGATATACAATCAGACAGTTACTGGTGCCATCAGAATTAGAACTCTCCGCTTGCTGCTCAAGACGGGGATGGAGTGCTTATGGAGTGTCTAGAATGTTGTGGTATCGATTCAAAATTCAACTAATCACATTTATTTCTGAGCATTTTCCCCCATTCCCATTCCCATACCTACCCGTTCAGTACGTGCAAATCACTTTTACCAAGCTGAACGTCCCGCAAACGCTACAAAGTTCTCGGGGACTACAAGTACTGCAACCTTCCCCAAGTCTCAGCTAGTAGTCTAAGCTCCTGCCCTCTCGCTTAATATTCATGCTAATTACCCATACTAATCATGTGATAATTTAGACATTAATATTCATACGTTCATGTTTCAGTCCCACTCATTCCATTACCCTTCTGTCTCTCTTTCTCTCAATACAAGTGACACGCAACAACCTGCATACTAGTACATATAATATCACAACACTTCGGAAAAGCCCATAGTCTTCCAGCTCGCGTTGGTATCATTGCTGGAGCTAAGGAATCTCGTGATTAGTGCGATGCTCTTGGATGGCAAACAACTATTCTTGGGACACAGAGGCCTGTTGAATACTTCTTCTTCAGCATTTCGAGCTCTTGGGTGTATGAAAGATGCATTAGCTATTTATGTGAAAATCTGTTTGCAGTGAATGTTAGAGATTTATTGGCAATTTACATTAACATGTTTTGGCGGTTAATGCTGGGGATTTATTAACAGTTTATGCTAAAATCTGTTGGCAGTGTATGAGAAATTTATTGGCAATTTATGTTAAAACGAGCTGTATGTAAAAAAAAAAAAAAAAAAAAATTAAACGTTAATATTTTGTTGAAGAAATATTGTAGCAGTTCCTATAAGAAAGATATTAGTAGTTCCTATAAGAAAGATATTAGTAGTTCCTATAAGAAAGATATTAGTAGTTCCTATAAGAAAGATATTAGTAGTTCGTAAAAGAAAGATATTAATAGTTCCTATAAGAAAGATATTAGTAGTTCCTATAAGAAAGATGTTAGCATTTGCTTTTATAACTATATTAACATTTCTTCCTACTCTTAGCGATTAGTTAACAATCCCTCTTAGAAATAACTCAATGGTTCCTATTAGAAATGCTTTTTGCTGTTCCTCTTTGAAATAAAACTACTGGACGTAAATTTGCCTAGAAAACCCACACAACAGCCAGGGCTGTTGAGGTTGGTTCTGCAGCGTCCTGTAAAGGATACGCAACTAACCTTTGAAATAACTCCTGCTTTTTGAGTCATTATGAAACTAAAAGACACAAAGTTAATAAAGCGCAGCCTTGTTTTTCCTTTTACCTTACGGTCAAAGTGCTACTCCACGAAAACACAACACAATAAAGATACTGTGTGTTGTCCATCAAGATGATGATGACCACTCTTTTTCATCAAGTATGAGTACGAAGATGACTGATGAGGCCGATGCTTGCAAGAAAAGTTCTTGGACAGTGAGGACAGAGAATTAGCATTGTTTCACACATACTACACTAGTTTTCCCAGGAGTCAAATATCACTCGAAGTATCATAATTTAAGCGACACTCAGGTACAGAACATTTCGCAGGCTGAGTTAAATAATACTTAACACTTCAGAACCGACTATTTCGGAAATGCAACTAGAAAGCAATGTAATTACTTCTTCTTCTTCACAAAACCACGCAAAGGCCTGTCAGCAATGAGGGTCCTGGCTGCTGCTAACACTGAGCAGAGACTGCTTCTGCTTCTGTTCCAGGGACTTGAAATTTCTTCCATCGAATATGCTCTTGCCATCCTCACTGTCAGCCATATTCATATTGAAAGACTTGAGAAGGTGCAAAATGAAGCAATGCGCATATTACCATGGTGCACTGGCGACACATCTTGTGTAGCAATGAGGTACCTTCCTGACTTCCCTACCATGAACTACAGGATCAAGATCTGGAGGGCTCGTGCATAACTCAAAATAAACTCAGATCTGAAGCACCCTTTGCACCACATGCTCTTCAAGAAAAAGGGCAATAGGCTTAAAAGGGGTAAATCATGACTGGGTAGGGCAGAGGATGACATCATGCAGTTTTGCAGCCTTACAGACATCCATCCAGGTTCGAAGTGGATACTAGAGTCTAAAGCGCCCAATCTCACATTATCCTGTATCGTGACGCTCGATAGGAGTTGTCGGGAGTAGAATCCAGCTGCTGTCAATGCTAAGGTATGCGCGCTTATCAGTGACTAGTCAGATGAGACAGATGTGGTGATCTTCACAGACGGGTCCGTTATACGAGGGCATAAGAGTGCATTTACAGCTCGCTCTTCAGGCAGAACAGTTAAGGAAGCCAGCGGTGTTTTCTCCATGACTACCAGCAGCATGGCGATGGTGGTAATGGTGGTGACACAGACTTTCATGTGGCTAGCATCACAGGACTATTCCCGCGTGTGTATGTTGAGTGATTCTTTGAGTATGATCCGGCGGGTCGAGGCAGGCTGGTTACTCAGACAGTGGCTTGAGTCATTGCAAAATTCTCATGTGTGTGCATTTACTTTCCTATTCGTCCAAGGGGAAGCAGGCGTTGTTAGTAATGAGAGAGCTGATAGACTGGCAGGTACTGCGTTAATTGAAGATGGCCAGCCAATGGATCACGCAGATATTGTCATTGCCCTTAGAGTGATAGGACGTTCTGAGGATTTTGGAAGCAACGCGTCCACATCACTATAAGAATACACGAATTGGAAGTAAAGATCGGCGCAGCCAAGCATGAGAAGCACACTGGACGCACACGAAGTCTTGTTAACCAACATAGGACTGGTACTACTAACCGCACGACGCTGATGAATATGTTGAGAGGGGAATCTGAACGCCCATGGATGTGTCCGGAGTGCTGTGAAGATAATCTAACTCATAACTCTCCTTCTTCAGCATTCAGAACCCTTGAGGTTGATTGCTGCAGATATCACTCACCTCCAATCATCTCTCTGGTTGGCTTCTTTCTCCAGTTGGTGACACCAAGTGTTTACAGATCTGTCCGGACATTATCTCTCCATCCCTGATGTAATTACACACATTAAAAAAATCATAACACAGATTGTTCACCTTACAGCTTAGTCTACAGCCTACAGTTGAGCGTGTGGCCCAAGGCCCAATCTTGAGAAAGCTTTGTCTAAACTCCGCACTTCACGCTTTAGAGCTCAGTCAATGAGACCTCCTTAAACTGACAGCCGACAATAACTGCTCCCAGTAGTAATAAACAACATGGCGACGTCTGCTGCGTCTTCTGTAGACTCTACAAGCCCGGGGAGAAACAAACACGACACCAACGCGGGCTTCAAGGAAATAAAGTCTACCTCGACAATTTCTAGCACTTTGGCCATTTTTGCACTGATAATAAGTGATGTCATATATGGTATGAGTCATGTTTGTTTTTACAGCAACTACTGTTAGATCACTGCAGCCAGGACACATTGACATTGAGTGTGAGAATGTTTAAATTAAAATGTTTGTTGAGTTATGGCGCGCATGTGGAGTAGTGGAATTAAATTAAAGATTGATAAAAGTATCACCGATAAAAATCTGTGTCTGGCAAGCTTGTAAGCGTGAAAAAATCTCTCTGTCTCTCTTTCTGTTTCCTCCCCCCCCCTCACCTCCTTCTCTCTCTCTCTCTCTCTCTCTCTCTCTCTCTCTCTCTCTCTCTCTCTAAAATGCTTGACACGTTTTGGTTGCATACAAGGATGTTATCAACCAAATTGATACATTTGGAGACATGGTTACAAATAAACATCCATTCTGAGAAGGTTCAAGTAAACAGTTGTACACGTTTACCGTACTGTTGATGTCTGTAATGATCAAACGTGCAACTAGTAATGTGGCCTGAACTGTTTATGAGAAATCTGGTAATCTGGTAATCCTAGTTTCAGCTTCATAGCAAACGGGTCACCCCATAGTTGCTCCGCTCCTGTGCCAACGAAAAATACACGTAGCTCACAGTGTCACGCCATGCACTCAACTCAGAAGATAGGCGACGAAACTATATCCTTCCAGTCTACAAATGGAGCAAAAATGCTATGAGAAAGCCTAGAGGAGGGTTGCTGAACTCAGTTTACTCAGGGGCCAACATTTTGAAAATAGGGATCATCACGGCCTGAGCCCTAACATAAAAAGATCATTAACTCTTTCAGTCCCAAGGAACACATCATATGTTCTTACCTAAAAGCCCAATGAACACAAGATGTGCTGATTTTAAAAACTGTCCTTACTACCCCTTGGGCCTCTGATGCTGAACCAACTTGGGACTGAAAAAGTTAATACAGTACAACTCTCAATGATCTACCTGCTAGGTCTTCACGGACCAGATTTGGCCCACAGGCCACCAGTTGAATAGCCCTGGCTTAGAGTGATGTCATATTGGTTTTGATCTTAACTCTTCCCCGTGTGAGTCTTGGCAAAGAGAATAGACCGACTGCATCCATAAGAGGCGACTAATTATGGATTGTTTTCTTTGAAATCGAAGTGCATATGCCTGGGAGGCAAGAAATTAACAAACTGCATACAGATAGGCCACTTCTATAAAGCGGATGGATGTACACACAAAGCTCAAGTTCTGGAGCCAGATCAAAGTGGAGCAGTGGATGAACAACCAGAACTTTCTGCAAGAGTTTACAGCCACTTAATGAAAAGAGAAAACTCTCAACCACACCCCAGCAAAGCAAGGAAAAAAAACTTGCAACATTTTTGTTTCTGACGTAGGGTTCATCTTTTGGAGCATATTTCAAGGTCTGGCCCCGATGATTTGGTTCTACCCATTGAATGAACTGGAAATATCTGGCTATGAAGTGTTCGCTGTAGTTTGGCTTTCTCCCATTGTCTGTCTCATCCCGGGAGTGCTGCCGTTTCTTCAAAACAAATGGGTAAGTCTTTTATTCATGGTGTTAGACAGGTATTTTAGAACTATAGTGTTGGCATTTATGGGTATCTCAGTAGAGCATTAACATAGTTACCTAGAAAGTGCAGAAGTCCGAAGTTTAATTCCTCGTTAATGCCTTACGGTGTACAGTATGAGAAATCAAGATTGTTACACACGACACGTGCGGGCACACACACAGACACCCACCCACCCACCCACACACACACACAAACCCACCCACACACCCACACACACACACCCACCCACACACCCACACACACACACACACACACACAAGGATATAATAAAAAAATCAAAACATACCTTTGCCCTTCAGAACAGGAGAAGGACAATACTTAAAGATCATTGTAAAACTCTCCTCTGTGTGTGCACTTAATTAATGTGTCCCAGGGCATGCAGCTGTTTTTGGCAATGAAAGAGCTGATAGACTGGCAGGTTCCGCATTAATTGCAGATGGCAGGCCCATGGATCACGCAAACATTGTCAATGCCCTAAATTCATTCATTCAGTAGCATGTCCCTCGCGGAACCTCGCTGCCATAACAACCCTCTGGAAAACCTTCCTATCATGAGCAAGATGTCCTGCGTCTGATACACCCATCTGGAGATCATCTGCCACATCCTGCACTCATCTTCTCCTTGGCCTTCCTCTTCCTCTCTTCCCAGGCATATACCCCTCCATTATTGTTCTCTCTAGACTTCCATGACGTTTCAAGTGACCAAAATATTTCAATTTTCTTTGTTTTATTGTCTTTACTAGCCAACCCTCTTCAATATTCAGCTCTTGAAGTATGGATGCATTTGTTCTTTTCTTTACCCAAGATATTCTTAGAACCTGTCTGTAACATTTATATTCAAATGCATTTATGCGCTGTTCCGCTTGTTTAGTAAGTGTCCAGGTCTCACAGGCGTATGTTGCAATGGGAAAGATGCATACTCTTAAAAATCTGACCTTTGTAATTCTATCTGTACAATTCCATAATTTATTCAGTTGTTTTAGTCTTTGAAGAGCAATTGATAGTCGCCGTTTAATTTCTTTCATTGTGTCACCATTGTTGGTAACCAGTGACCCAAGATATTCGAAATTTTCCACCACTTCCAATCTTTCCTTATTAACATATATTTCCTTCTCCATGGCAGTTTTGTTTGTATGCATTATCTTTGTTTTTGCTATGTTAAGAAATAAGTTATGATTTTCACTATTTCTTTGGAGTGAGGTTAATAGTTTTTTCTAAACCACTTTGTGATGTTGATAGTAATACTGTATCATCAGCATAACGAATTTCTGGTATTTCATGACCACCGATGTTTAGAGCATCATATTGTTCCTTGTTTATATCATCTCTTGCATTTCTCATTATATTTTCGGCGTACAGATTGAACAAATACGGTGACAGCACACATCCCTGACGGACTCCTTGCTTGATGCCAAACCAGTCTGATGTCTCTCCATCTATTCTGACTGCTGCTTGCTGATCTTGATAGAGCATTTTAATGAGCTGCACTATATGTGATGGAAAGCCCATATTCCTCTTGATTTCCCAAAGCTTCTGATGTTGTACACAGTCAAATGCTTTTGAATAATCTACAAAACATAAGAACAGATTTACATTAAATTCTCTACACTTCTCTATTATTAAACGCATGTTGAATATATGATCTCTTGTTCCTCTTCCCTGTCTAAATCCAGCCTGAGCTACATTAATCTCTTCTTCCATTTTCTTATGCAGTCTTCTCATTATAATTTTTAGTAGAATTTTGCTTGCATGACTGATCAGGGCAATAGTTCGATAGTTTGTACATAATTTCAGGTCACCCTTTTTTGGTATTGGAATGAAGATAGTTCTCTTCCAGTCTTTTGGCCAAATACCATATTTCCCTAAATAGATAGGATAATTCAAGCATTGTTTAGGATACTCTGAGGATTTTAGAAGCAACATGTCCTCATCACTACTAAGAATATGAGATTTGGGAATAAAGATCGGCACAGCCAATTATGAGAAGCACACTGGATGCACATGAAGTCTTGTCCACCAGCATAAGGCTGCCACTATGAACCGCGCAAAGCTGATGAATATGTTAAAGGGGCAATCTGAGCACCTATGGATGTGTCCGGAGTGCTGTGAAGATAATCCATCTCATGACTTGTAACTGAAAGATCAAATGGAAAACAGAAATGAAAAAAAGATTTCTTAAAAGAAAACTGAAAATAATAAGACTGGTGAATTATTTTGGCCAAATTAAAATACCTAACACTCTTTAAAAAAAAAAAAAAAGTGAGGAAAAGGAAGGAGGTGATACTTGGGCGGAAAAGGTTAACAGATTAATGAACAGTAATGTGACAGAGAGTATAGCTAGTGCAAGAAAGTAGAGCATTACAGTTCCATCTTAGCCATCTATCATTGTGGAGATGACACCTGCCTGATTGACTGAAAGCTTATCAGTTTTGCTTTTTTTTTTTTTGTCACATACTGGGAAAATGTGGATACCTTGATGATACTTATAATCTTGTATCTGTTCTTGGCAGGTTCTTAATCTTCTCCGCCTCGTGACTGTGTCAAGTCTTGCCTCTTTCCAAGCTCCAGACACACTGTCAAGACTAACTATACTGGCCATAGGAGCTGGAGTATCCATGTTGGTGCTTGCTGCAACTCTCTGGAACCCTTCGAAGCCAATAAGGTTGGGATTTGGACACTTTATTTCAGTTTGATGATATATGTGTGCTCTTATAGATAAAGAAGATGATGGTTAGCAAAGTGTTTCCATGCTTCAGAGGGAAAAGTTGAAGGCATGAGAGCAAGAGACAGACGATGATACAGTTGGGAGCATCAGTATCAAGAGATGGACAAACAGCAGTCTGAGAGAGTTTACTGCTAAGACAAGAGACAAAGTCGGAGATTGATTGCTGCCAACCTTCATTGTGCAGATGTCAGCTCACTGATTCCATGACTTGATTGGGGCTCACAAAGAAAAAGAGATTGGGGCTCACAAAGAAAAAGAGGTTGGGGCTCACAAAGACAAAGAGATTGGGGCTCACAAAGGAAGCACAGGTTGGGGTTGACTGTTTACTTCAGTTTGAAACTAGATATGTATGCTTTTGTAGGTAAAAGAGAACATAGTAACCTCTAAGAGTGGCTCCTGGTTAGCTAAGAGCTGTGGACCCAGTTTTTCATAGCCATACTTAGAACTTATAATTTATAAATATTAGAATTGCAGCAGCAACAAAAACTGCATTCTAAATTTGACATTTCAAACCAAAAGTCACCACGGATGCCTTAAATTTGTTCCATAAACCCCACACCCTATGGGCAAAACTAGTCTAACTCATACCACCACTAATAATAGCCCACCCAGTAATAGCCACATATAGCTTTGCCCAAAAAAAATTACTTAAAAATAATTGAGCTTAATTTGATAGTTCATAGTTATGAATCAAATGAGCGTGAACGTTTTTTGAGATTATCAATTCATGCCTTTCACATTCTTTTATAGTATATTGGTATCTTCCACTGTTTTTTTTTTTTTTTTTTTTTTTTTTTTAAGAAAGGGAGGGGGGGGGGGGGGGGTTAAAATTAATAATTTAAACATATCTTCCACAAAACTTTAAGATCATTTATTGGTTCATACCTTCCACAAGACTTTTGGATCATTAATTGATTTGTATCTTCAATAAGACTCTAGGATCATTTATTGGTTCATACCTTCCACAAGACTATTAGATCATCAATTGATTTGTATCTTCAATAAGACTCTAAGATCATTTATTGGTTCATACCTTCCACAAGACTTTTAGATCATTGATTGATTTGTATCTTCAATAAGACTCTAAGATCATTTATTGGTTCATACCTTCCACAAGACTGATTTCATTGATTGATTGGTGTCTCCCATAAGATGTTAAGATAATTAACTAGTTCATACCTTCCATGAGACGTTATCATTAATTGTTCATACCTCCAAATAGACTGAGATAACCAGTTGATTCAAATCCTCCACAGATACAGAAGTTACTGGGGTCTGATACTAGGTCTGCATGCATTTCTAGCTGGCCGGGTCTGGTACATGACATTTGTGCCGACATGGTGGGATGATGTCAGCAACTCTGTTGTCATTGCCTGTGGAGTCATTTCTGTAACAGGGTTTATTTTTGGAGGTATGGCAACACATTTCTATCATTTGCTAAAGGTTAGAGCACAGGTTAAACATCATTGGAAGATTTGGCTGTTGATGAATGAGTGTTGCAGGGAAAGGATGATCTCAATTGGTGGGACAGTGTATACGATCGTTAAAACCACCGACACTGGACTACAGGTTACTATGTAAACATTTTGTGGTGCCCCAGTGTAACTGCTGTGTGATCGGGAGTTTCCCGGATTTATGTCTGATTGATTCTCATCCCTGAGATATTAGTCACGTAAACTGCAATCCTGAAGACAGAAAAAAAGTACAGGATTTTACTTCAGTTCATACTGGTAACATCAGTATTGGAACTTGGTGCTGGCTGCTGAAGATGAGGATGGAGCACACGTGGGAATGCCCCGAGTGCTGTGATTTCAATTCTTGACTCAACTCAGCTGCAGTTCTGTGGCCTACAGGTTAGTGAAATGATTTCACAATGCAGTCCTTGACATTCACAAGGGTGCGATTCCTACTGTGGACGGTTAAGGAAAAAAGCATTTTTGTGGCTTTCAGATGGTATGAGAGTCACACCATGGAAGAGATTGGTGTCTCAGCACATGATATTCCAATAGTTTGACGTGGATACATTGCAGCCAGCTTCCATTGTGTAGACAATGCTGTAGAAAAGAAAACGAGTGCAGGGTCTCGACTTAAGACCAAGTTCCGTTCTGGCTACAGGCCCTAACTCGAACTGGTTATAAGTCGAATGTATAGTTCTCAGCACTGTTTTCTCTCAAAGAGATGATACAAATTGTACATAAAATACATATATTCAATATATGTGGTACAGTTATTTTAACTAATGTAAAAAATATATAATGTGTACTTTATTGCGTCTGTTCCGGGATCCTTTTTACCGTACTAGTGTAAGTTATTTTTATTTGTTTATTGTTTTTTGTTTATTTATTTTCATGCTTGTAAGTGCAGATGATTGTAAGCTGCATAAGTTGTAAATCATGGAGAAATGTATAGGTTTTTGGTTGTAGATCATTTTGGTTGCACATAGGTATCTCTAGAGATGCTATATCTCCCCATAGATGACACAGAATCTGTTATCATCAACAAGTGCCTTGCTGGCTGGGGTGAGCGATCAAACCTCTCCACAATATGTGATCTGCAACTGCATATATTGTCTGTGTGTTGACACCCCTCCATACCATATCAAAAAGCTGTCAATCACCTTTTCACTTTGTCTTCCTCTGTCTCTCTTTCCACAGATTTTTCAGGAGGTCACAAAATGTTCCGGCTTTTTCCTTCTTCCCATAACAGTATAAAAAACGTATGTCTGTCTCTTTCTGATGCTTGTGATAAGTTGTCTTCAAGACATGTGGGTTGCTTTTTTTTTTTTTTTTTCAACACAATGAGAAAAATTTGCGGCAGCAGGGTTGACATAAATTTGTGTATACTAGAATAACATATACTGTATTCTTATTTTGTAATTTTGAAGCTTTTCTGATTTGAAACTTTTGCCTAGGTCATTGCTAATTTGGCCTGTTTTCAATATTTCCAGGCTGACCCATCCTAAAATGGGTGCAGGCAATGTCCTGGGAAATAAAGGTGGCCATTATGAGCTTGAAAACATCAGCTGCTGAGTAGTCTATATAAAATCTGTCTGGCATCATATGCCAAGTGCACCACTGCTGTGAAAAAAAAAGGTTATTTCTTTAAATTTATATTTCTCTTTTTTTTTTATATATATATCATTTATTGCCTTTTTTTTAAGCCTGTCTGTTGTATAAATATCCTCTGCTCAACAGATGATGAACCACAGCCTAACAGCTCTGCACCAGCTACCAAGGAGCATGAACCACAGTCCAAGCCACACTGGATGCCTTGTGGCATAGGTTTGGGGAGCATTCTGTACCTGACCCACATGTGTTTTGGCGAGGCATCTCTGGTGACTCGCTGGACGGTCAAATCATTCCCAGACCCCGGACCAGTGCCTTTACTGTGGGGGTCAGTGGGTTTCATAGTTTGTTTTTCCTTTTTTTTTTCATGATACATTTTTAAAAAATGTAATCTAAACATTTATGGCCAAGTATTCTTTATAGGCATCACACGGGAAGCTATTTAACCAGTTCTCCTTGCATCAATGAGAGTCAGATTTCACTACTTTGAATAACGCACAGCCTGGGTAGGAAGTATTGTAGAGACCATGTGTTGTGCATGCAGCATGATCTTTCTCTTGACCAGCCTTTCTTTGCTTCAAAGGAAACAACACCAGTATCTGTGAAACAAAGCATGCTGCGGAAGCTGCTGCATCATAAGACCGGTATTCTGTCAGTTCACCTTTTGGAGCTTTCCTCCTAGACCAGCTGTTAGTTAGCCAACACTAAGGACCTGGTTTGCGCTGCCATAATATTAAGTTGTCAGGTTGCATTTACTAGCATAAGCTGGTATTCTTCCCAGTGTTCTCCTCCACCCTAAACCGTTGGCACAGTATGGGATGTCAGTATTTGTATACATTGCTCAACATCTGTATTCTGTAGCTGAAATTTTATCCTGTGTATTTTAGATAAAGTCCTGGGAAGTAAAGGTGGCTGGTATGATGTTAGTGGCCAGTTTGGGAAAGCACTGCCATGTCATGAAATGAAGAGGATAACGAACTTATAATTTCTGTTAAACCTTTACAAGAGGGTACACAAACTCAGTGACTTACAAACTTGCAAGCTTACAAAGAAATGCTAACTAAGGTAATGAATGAGGGGAGGGGGGGGGGGGGGGAATTGCAGTAGACAAAGCGCCTATACCATTTCTGGGGTTTTTCCAGGGATGAATGACCTCAGAGGCCATTGCCACTTAAATTAGCATCTTGGCAGGAAAAACATGTTGATGAAATCAGGTACAGAGGAGAGGGGCAGAACAGAATAGCGTCGGCGGTATATACACTGCGAGTGAATGTGTAGAGGGGCACTTGCAGTAAGACCGCAACCAAGGATGGTTTTATGTGGGTGAATAAACTTGCCTGGTCATGTTGTCGATACTGTGGAACTGAGTCCATAGTTCCGTTATGGAAACTGAGATGGCTTTCTGAATGCCTTGAAAGTAGTATTCATCTTCTTTTGCAGTAATTAGATCAGATAAAGTATTATGATACATGTTGGTTATTGGCAGGACACATGATCATGTTAATGAGGATATATAATACGGTCATGCCGTTTGTCTAGTCGAACAGAAGGATAGAGGCAATGCAGTGATGACAAAATGAAGTGCACGAATGCAGTGAATGAGTAGCCATATGTATTTATAATGATTTCTGGAATCGCACATAATCTTGGAACACGGAGGAATTCCAAAACAACTAAAAATGGTCAGACAGAAGGCAGCAATACAGAGTCCAGGAATACAGGCCCAATACCAGATGTCACTGGTAGTCAGCAGATAGCAGGTGGGTATTGTCAATGAACTTTGTGACACTAGGATGACCTCTCAAGTATCTGACTGGGTCTGCAACATTTTGATGGAGGAAAGCAATGGACACTTATGTCATAAGAACAGTTATATGTACACTTTTATGTTTTCTGTGTTATGTTTGTAATGTAGAATATAGGCTTCATTTGGGAAAAAGAAGTAACTATTGGATTGCGGGCACGGCACATGATGCTGGGTGATGATTGTATATCCAGTAGCTATGATGTGTTAACTATCTAACTGTACAGCTTAGTTGGAGCTGCGAGGAAACAGTAACGACATGTATATAAAATCAATGTCAAAGTAAATAATGCATTTATAATGCTGTTAACTAATGGATGTGATTTGAAGAGAATGATATAAGAAGAAATGTGAAGGTGAAAGTCATTTAGCTTGGGAAACCGAACTTGGATGGGCCTGGTCGAGGGACTGGGAAGCCAGCACTCGGGTAGTTGTTGTTGTTATCGATCCAGCGGCGCATGAGCTTTAACCCTTTGGCCCAATGCCATGTAGTGGAATTTGCATGTTTTCACAAGCTGTTCTTTTCCTCCGTACAAGGTGTTCCACTTGTCTGCTCTCGGAGGGAGTAGCATTCTTCTAGTCTCGCTGAGTTTTGGGCACTCAAAGAGATGATGGTAAACAGTTTCGTAGGGGTAGTTACATAGCTGGCACTCTGGGGAGTGTTGTGGCTGTATTCTGTTTAGATGTCCACTGAGTGGAGTATGTTGTGTTCTATGTCTTAAGATGGTGGCCTGGTCCCTTCTTGTTAGATGGTTAATGCTGTCATTAGGATCAGGGCCAGCCATATGTCTATAAACCTCTCTTCCAGTGTCTCCCATGGCCCATCTGTTCAACCAAGTCTATTTGTTTATAGCTCTTATACACGGGTAGAAAAGATTGTTACCTGTAGAGGGCGGAACAGAAGTATCAGATGTTGAGTTTACGGGAGGCAAACTGGTTTGTAAGGCTGTGGTCTGACTTGTGGTAGAGGAGGAAAGGCATGGACATTCATGTTGTACAAGTAAATAGTTTAATGCATAGTTATACATCGTAATATGTGTTGACTGAGAAGTACATGTGGGTTAGGGATTATACAACAGCATAATAATGTGTGTTTCAAGTAAGAACTGTTCGTATCAGTTGGTGGCAATGTAAAATAAGATTTCTTTTATTGCTTCACGTTTGTATGCTTAGGAATGTGACCTTGTAGATTGTTTGAATATATTTAATATGTGGCATAACAGGGAAGGTCATGATTTACTGGGTTGGCAATAGAGTAGACAGTATCTAGATTGTAATTAGCAGTATGACTAGATTGTAGGCGGTTTTTGGCTATTTAGTAGGTGGATCTACATAGTAGTTGTTATGCTAATATGTACTATGCTGGTATTTGTGTCTAAGTACTGATTAACAGAAATGAAGGAGATTCTAGGAGTTATTTACTGGTTTATTGTTGAGAAGAGTAGATTCTGCTATCAGTTGTAATGAATGGTAGGCTGTTGTGATATTCAATGTTCTGTAGTGTGATTAGCGATTGGGCTCACTCTGGTTGCAACTAGTTATAACATCTTGTGTATTATGTTGAGTTTTGAGATGAGCTTGTTTTTTAACAAGGGACATACGACTGTTGTCATTCTTCTACGAGAGTAAACATGATTGCTAGTTGTTACTCTTGTATTTCCTGTTCAGTATAGGTGTTGTATCACTATTTAGTTGCTGTATTTCTTATAATACTGTACCTATACTACATAGCTCACTCTTTTATACCTCCGCTGACTTTTACCTGGTCATCTGAGGTGTAAACTCATTGGTACACTCCCCACACAGGATAACCTTTTATCTTCTCATACATCCTTTAACTATTATTATTCTAATCTGTCTCTCTCTTCTTTCATATCCTCTCCTCTCTCTGTCCCTTTAAGATGTACCGGTTACATGTTGACCATATCACCCGTGTGCTGATGAGCCTGTAAAGATGTGTGTCAAGCATCATATACTTGATGTGCCAGCCGTGTGAAAAGGATCATTCATTTACTTCCTTTAACTATTATTTAGGCTGAATTGTGTAATTTAAGCTGTTTCTAACATTAAACTGAATCTTTTAATACAGACTGTATTCTCTCATTAAATAAAACCTGAAGTTGATCCTCTGCCTCGTAAACTGTAAGCCTTGTTTGACTTGCAGGTCCCTAGTTCTTCTGTCACTTGCCATTGGCTCTTTTTCCTTCTGGGCTACACGACAGAAGTACCATATACTTTGTGTTCTGGCTGCTTCGGCTGCTCTATCTGGGCTGTACTGGCTAGGAAACCCTTATCTGGCTTTTTTTGGTGAGTCTGGTTTGTGTATGTGTGTGTGTTTTTTTTTTCATTGCTGGATCTCTGTTGTGGCCTTTTGGTAAGTCTTATTTTAGCCTTATGGTGAGTCTGTATTTTTATTTATTAATGAGTCTTTTTTTTTTTATATAAATGTTCCTGCCTCATACTGTAATAACTTAAATCTAGCTAAAATAATCTCCTATTTTCATGTCCTTAATCATTTCAGCTTACCAGATATCAATTTTATAGAATTTAAAACTACAAAATGTAATAGCCTCAAACCGAGTTTTAAACCTAATAGTTTTGTTTATAATTTAAACCTACCTGGAATTAAACCTACCTGGAACTATATCCTCACCTCAAATTCTGATAATATAAACTACCAAATTTAAGGTTCTTTAAGTTTTTTCAGAACGGTATTGTCAACTCAAATCCTAATTGTAACAGTAGGAAAGTTGTCGGTAGGAGAGGCAGAGGGAGATAGAGACAAAAGATGCTGGACAGTTTGACATCATGCCATGAAAGATCAAATGTGTCAGAGATTATTAAAAGTACACAAAGCAGTTAGTTGTGGATAGACATGACTACCAACGCCACACAGCATGGACTTTAAGAAGAAGATGTTCTAATATTGGAACCCAACCAAAATAATTTTCCCAAATGATGTTTTCCTGCAGCGGGCTGTTGCCTGGCATTCCTGACCATGTCTTTATGGCCCGTTGTTGTGGAGATTGTCACCCGGAGCAGTCCAGCCTTGTGCCTTACTGTAGCAGGGGCTACCTACATCTTCCAGGTGAGTCTTATCTGGTTACAGCTTTGATTTTCTCTGAACAATACTGTCTGTCTTTTTTATTCTTATTATACCATAAATTGACCGTAATTCTTCTTCTCTTCCTCTTTTACTTCTTTGGGTGTCAGGGGGGATAAAAGCTGCTTTTTCTCGCTCTTCTGACCACCTAAGATACATTGTGAAGTGTCCGTGATACCTTTCCAGAATCAGACAGTCACAGTTTCAGCTCATGGCAGACAGGTCACTCCATAATTGCTGTGTTCCAGTGCCAGCAGAAAACACACAGATGTTGGCAACTCTGCATCTGTCCAGAGGGTTTTTGTTCCATTGTGCTGTAGGTAGAGAGGCGTGAGAATCACTACCCATGGCAATACAAATGAAGATTAAAGATGAAGTTCCCCCTCCCCTTAGAACAAAACCTGGTGTGGTAAAGACCATGTCTTGCCCATTCAGCATGATCCCTTTCTCTGTCTACTGTGCTAACTCTGAAGGAAAGGTAACTCCAATGCACTTGGATCAAAGCAAGCTGCAGAAGCTGCTGGATCATAAAAGCAGTGCTCTGTCCGTCCATCTATCAGAGCTTCCCTCCTAGACCAGCTGCCAATAAACTACAAGTGAATGTGTAGCTAGGAAGTTTCATAATGAGGGGACTTCTGGGACAAACTGTTCATGAGCAGGTCAGGCACACCGAGTAGTGACCCCAGAGTCATGCAGCCATTGAAGGACTCGACTCATACACTTGCTGGAACGACAAGCATGCATTGCTGTACTGGACCATCATTTTCCAAGGAATGTCTGTAGGTTTCACCTCTTCACAGATCAAAAAATTGATAATTGATCGCTGCTCCTCTTTGATGCATGTCAAAAGTTGGGTGGCGATCTTTTTTAAACTGCCATTATGCGGTAGCCGGTTTTCTTCTGCACCTTGATGACATAGGCTTAACACTCTTGGCGTCCTTAACAACAACATTGACAGGTTACAAGACAGTGCCAGGCTTATTGTAATTTTATAACATTTTTAATGTTTTCATTTGATGCGCCTTAATCACCTTATTCAGGTACATGTTACATTTGGTACAAACATTTCTCACCTCCTCTGTTAGTGCCTTTTCTGGGTGTGGACCGTTGCTTTCAACTTTGTGCCTTATGGAGTCTATACAAGAGAACATACAGACTGGCTGATTGGCATTGTCATGGGTGGCATTCTGCTTCTAGTCCTTTTGTGTAAGCCAGTGTTTTTTGCTCTTTTTATATTGGGTTTATCACAAATTTTTATTGTTGTTTTGTTATGCTTTGTACATTTAATTGTTGTGTTTTGTTATGTTTTATTCTATACATTTAATTGTTGTTATTTATGTCTGTCTGAAGTGTGAAACTAAATCAAGTAGAGTGATCTAAAGACACCCCCCCCTCCCCCTCCCCCCCCTTCCAAAAAAAAATATTCTGTCTTTCAATGTCTGCCTATATAGGAGTTGGTCTGCAGCTGATCTCTTCCAAGTGTCTGTCGGAGCAGTAGTGGTGCTAGAATAATGTAGAGAATTTTTTTAATGTGAAGTAGATGACCTTTTTCATGTCTTTGGTGTATTGGCATATACTGCTGGACTTATATTTTTATAGACCAGTTGGTGCTTAATGGTGGATGTGATCAGCATCGTGCCAGCCACCTTTACTTCCCAGGACTTCTTCTTCTTAGCGCCCATTGACTGTAAACTCTGGCAGAAAGTTCTGGTTGTTCATCCACTTCTGGTTTTTAGTCTTGTTCCAACACTATCAGCTTTGTATGCACATCTGTTTTACAAAATTGACTGACTTACTTATAGCCAGACTGTTGGCTCCTTGCCTATCTGGCGGATGCACTCCATCTTCAAAGGAAAAACCTTAATTATTTGCCTTTTGCAACATGCTTGTTGGTCTTTTCTTGTATCCCAAAAATGGGTCCCTGGAACCCACACATGGAGTTTCTCAGGAGATTATCTTATATTCATTTTAGCCTGAGTTGACCTGCGATGTAGAGGATCGATACAGTTAATGTATGACACCAGTTTATTATTTTCTTCAAATATTCAGATTCTCCAGAGAAAAGACGGTTTACAGTAAGCTTTGAGACTCCTCAACTGTCATTACCTACCTCAGGAATGTATTTTAAAGGTAAATTTCTTTTTTTAAATTATTACATTAATGTTTCCTCTAGATATTTCTCCTATTATCTAAATGTCACTTGAAAATTGCATCAGTATGTTCCTTCATGCATCCTCCGTGTATTTCCTCATTTCCTCCATATATTCCTGCATGTTTCCTGCATTCTCTAGCACATTGATTATGCACACATCATTCTCTTCCTCTCATACGTCCATCCTTGTTGTATCCACCCCTGATTCATTGTTCACACATTCTTGCACATGTTATTTCATCTAACCTAACAACTTCTATCAGTATTCATTCATAATTGGTCTTCAGAATGTTTCCCTTGTCCAGTATAAGTGCTCTTGTAGCTATCGATTTTGTTGCCAGAATATCCACTCTTTCATTCCCTCACACTCCTACATATCACGGACAGTAAATCCAGATGAATTCCTGTAATGTTGATGAAACTGATGCTAGGTATAAACTTGCACTACATTTGTCTATGTTTGCCTTCTGCACTACCAACTGAGAATCAGACGTAAAAATTCCTATTGCTACTTTTTTTTTCCCATCAACCTCAGATCTGCACCTCCACCTTCATCGTCATGCTTGAAGTTAGATATAAATTTTAAAAAGTGCCATTTTCTTCTGCCCCGATCTTTCCCTTCACTGTAGATAAATATCCTTAACCAGATGTTTTACCCCAATGAACAGAACCATCAGTATACTCTAATGCAGGCTCTCGGCCAGCGTAATTATCTATCAGTTGTACCTCAAATTCTGCTATACCATTACACCACTTCTTACATAACAAGAGAAATATAGAAGCATACCATGACAATGATGTTGATTACAATTTACAAAATTTAAAGACATATGAACAAAATTTTATCTTTTGAATATTAACTGAGTAGACTTTTATGTTGTCTTTCTTATTTTCAGTGCTAGTGATGATATTTTTGGTTGGACAAGCTGGCATGTTGAATAGATATCACAGATATGCCCCAGGAGCAAGGCAGGAGAAGGTATGAAGGTGTAAGTAAGCAACAACAAAAAAGTGAAGAAACCTTTTCACACAGTGAAGACCAAGGGATATATGGTGCCAGTCCCAGTTTTGTATAGCCTAATCAGTACTCAGCATGGTGGCTAGATGCTCGCCTGCCCGCCTGAAGGCTGGAGTTCAAATACCCATGAAGGTTGATTTTGTCTTCAAACTTCACTTTGGTTTCCAGGTTTGACTGAACATAAAATGGGTGCCAGGTGATATTATGGGAAGCAAAGGCAGCTGTTATGATATTGACCACATCCGCAGAGGGCTGGTGTGACTTGTATCATATGTGCGGTGCGCCACTGGAAAAAAAAAGGGTCCTTCTCTTTACATTTGAGCCCTTACCCACACAGGTCTGCAGGTAGCATCAGGATTCTGCAGCTGTTAGGTATACCCAAATTATACCTTTTTTTTTTTTGGTATCTGAGATCTGCTTTATTGGTTTGCTGTCCAGATTAAGATTTTTTTTTAAAATCTGAGTGTGGTATACCCTTTAGGTAGCAATCCAGAGGGAAAAAACTTTCAGTCGATTGATCAATCGATTTTTTTAAATCAACTCATTGATTGATTTACTTTAATCAGCTCATTGATCAGTTTACTTTAATCAACTCATTGATCAATTTACTTTGATCAACTCATTGATCAGTTTACTTTGATCAACTCATTGATAAGTTTACTTTAATCAGCTCATTGATTGATTTACTTTAATCAACTCATTGATTGATTTACTTTGATCAGCTCATTGATCAGTTTACTTTAATCAACTCATTGATCAATTTACTTTGATCAAATCATTGAGCAATTTACTTTGATCAACTCATTAATCAGTTTACTTTAATCAGCTCATTGATTGATTTACTTTAATCGACACTCACTTATGGTGAGATCAGCATCATGCTGACCATTTTGATTTGCTAGTAGCCTGGTAGCCATTTTAGCCTGGGTCAGTGTCCGAGTTCTTGCAGATTTGAACATGTGACCTCCTGACCAGCAGGCAAGCATGCTAGTTACTACACCACCTTGGCTTCTTGTTGAGGTTTAGTATGATGTAAAATGTCTCAGTGATATAATAAAATACACGTACATTCATTTTCAGGTTGTGTTATTTGTGGCTCGTCTAGTCCTCCTTTCCGTCTTTTCTGTACAGTTCTTTCGATATCATGGATTGAATTCTATCCAGCACATTTGGCTTCTCTCAGTGTTTGCTTTATGGTCTCTTTTACTCTTCGTTGGCTACGGAACAAGGAGGACAGAGCCATGTGGGAATGTCCCGAGTGCATTGATGTCAATTCTTGATTCAGTCATTCATGCATTCATTCATTCATGGTCTCTTTTGTGGGTCCTCACTTTCTCAATCCTTTTATTTCTCATTTGTATGCCGGACACAGGCTTGTGGTGATTCTCCGTCACTGCTTAGATTGACTTACTATCTGAGTGAAACTGCGAATCTAGATTAATAAATGAATATGGCCGACTTTGCATTGGTAGAGTGGCTGCTGGCTGAGTGGTTTGAATTCTGGGCTGCCATGCGGGAGTTCCAGCTTCAATCCTCGGTAAGGGAGATTTTTCTGCTAAGGGCAAAAATATACATTTTGACTGACATAGTTCATGTGACTTCACTAGCCATGTGGCCTAACATCCTCAGGCTCACTCCGCCCTTTTCTACTGTTGCTCACCGCCTTTACTGCCTGTATTTATAAATTTTGCGTTGTAAGCGGGTAGATCTTTGAGCCTGAGAATTTAGCCCTGCATGGCTGGTGCTGTGGCCATGTACTGTGCAGGCTAAGATTTTATTTTTGCTTCGAAAGAAAAACCCAGACCTTACCGAAAATTCCTGTTAGTAAGTTAGTTAATCAACAGATTATCCTGGCACGTGGGACAAGTTCATAAGCACTCTAGCAAACTCCTCATGCTTGTTGGAGGGGGGGGGGGGGGTGTCTGTTCTCAATTCTTCAGAATGAAGCCATGAAATCCACAGAAAGTTTTGTAAGATGAATCACATATATCATTTGTAGCTCGTCATTTATGAGAATTGTGTGTTGTTGTTTTTTTTAAAGTTTGATCCCAAAGTGTTTACTGCTGGTATCTGGACCTTCCATTTTGGCTATGACAACAAAGGCTGGCCAAGCATGGAACGGGCGGTGTCCACGATCAACGATACAGGTCAGGCTGGTTCCGTCTAGGAAAGGCTTTTTGTTAACTTTTTTTTTAATGAATTCATTCATGAATGTGACCAATAGTATCCATAAATTTACCTTAATCTTGTATGTCTTGGTGTCACTTCCTGTCAGCTGACCTTTGTATGCTCTAAGATTGAGACATTTCTAGGAGTAATATTTTAAACTGACATTTGTAGTTTCTTAGCCTTTTCACCCTAGAAACCCGTGGGTGGGGGGAGGGGGGAGTTCCCACACACAAACATTTTTAACTTTCAAACTCACTGTACGCAGGTTGCACAAAAAATTTTTTTTTTGGGTACACACTTTTTACAGTGTAGAAAGATATTAAAGGAAGTATTTAGTAAACACTTACGGAGAGAGCATAGAACTAAATGAAAGCATGCCCCTCCACAGTTGGAATTAAAGTAGTAACTTTTCGGACACAAAGATTTAATTACTGAAAATGACGACATAAATATCAATAGTTTAGTCCAGAATTATGCAGCTGGCGGCTCGCAGACCAAATCTGACCTGCAGAGTCTTAGCAAGTGGCCATTGGACCAGCTGCCAGTTGTACTGTTTTGTAGGCGGCCTGCGGCGACTCCTGTTTTCCCTTGAGAAAACTTAGTTGAATCGCTTTGTCTTCGGCGGCATAGTTGTAAATAGTAACTGTCTTTGGCTGACATAGCACGGAACATTGATGTTTTAATTTCTCATGCTCAGAGCTTCCAGTCAGTTTGGCGCATTGGCAGGTTTATTGTGTTTTTAGTTGTGGCAAATTGTTGCTTCCGACAATTGTTGGCTGTTTGCATTTTCTTTCTCGTCTAGACTGAAAGGATATAGTTCCATCGCCACAAATCCAGACAAATGTGAAAGGAATATTTGACAAGAAATAGCAAGATAGTGTACAACGCAGAATGGCCACCCTCAGTGATATTGATGAAGAATATCCACAAGAACAATGGGTCAGTCTATATAGATTGGTCCGCACAAAGTGCAGTTAGAAATTGTGGTGCTGGAGTGTACATAGAATTCCCAGATGGTACTAGGGATAAGTCCAGCGTACCAACCAGGAAGTAGTGCATAACTATGATGCAGAAACTCAAGCTATCAATATAGCAACAGAGAAACTGCTAAATACTAATCTTGGCTCACAGTATGTGGTAATGCTGACAGATGCTAAATCCGTACTTGAAGTACACCAGTCTAGGAAACTACCAGAATTGCAAACACTGCTGACATAACTCAGCCTTCAGCGAAGAGTCGTAATGCAGTGGATACCGTCTCATTGTGGAGTGCCTGGAAATGAAAAAGCTAATCAACTGGCAGGGGAAGGTGTGACAAAAGAGCAGCCGGATGTACCAGTCACATACCACCAAAAGAAAAGAATCATTAAATTGATCAGGAAACCACCAGCCCCAGCACAAGACGACTATTTTATTATGGACAGACCAGAACAAGTCATTATCCTCCGCCTCAGAACAGGGCACAACCGATTACGTAACCACATGTACACAAACTTCAAGATAGGTGTATCAACCATGTGCACCTGTGGAAATGTGCCCCAGACAGCAGAGCATGTACTCCAGGACTGCACCGAATTTGACACATTAAGGCAAACCTTTTGGCCAGAAAGAACAACAGTGGAACGTAAACTCTATGGACCACTGAATGAACTAACAACGACAGTGAAATTTATACAAGAGACAAAACTGCTGATATAGACAACTTATTTCAGGCGAACGAAAGAAGTAGTAGTAGTTCCATCGCCCAGCAAGTGAGATGAGTGCATGGTGTGACACTGTGAGCTGCAGATTTAATTAGGAATGCTTTTTAGCTGTGCCCAACATGGTTTATATTGTGAATTGCAGGTTCATAAAATGGCGACTGGTCTTTTGCCAAGGAATATACTGTGCCTCATGTGATTAATTGCATGCTCAACTGCTAATCTGCTGTAACTGCTGCTTCCATCGATGATAAACTGCATTTCTTGGGCCAGACTGTTTGTGGTGGCACTTCTGACAGCTGCCTTATACATTTAATGTATCTGTATGCTGTTATCTTTGCTGAGACCACTGTGTCAATTTTGTTAGCAAGGGACAGGGATGGACATTCTGTATAGTTTTCGTTGACATAGAAATGAAGCAAATATTCAGCGACTCTTTGGAAGTGCAACTAGGATTACTATATTATCTGATACAGACCATGACAAAAACATCAGTAGCTTTGGCAGTGCCGTTATAAATAATAACTGTCTATGCTGAAAAAGGTGAAAATATGGGGGTGACTGCAGTCAAGCTAATACAATGAATTCCAGAGAAATTTGACTAAAAAGCTTAACAAAATGGGGAAGAGGAAAACGGGCACAAAACAACACAATGTAATGTTTCGACCAGGCGGCCTTTTTCAAACATAAGTGAACTACACAAACGTAACAACGAGGAGATGAGAGTATGAAGATCTCTAAGGGGTGACGTGAGCAACGTTTAAAAAAATGTGGTGTGAAATAAAAATAAAACAAATGATAGCCAAAAAATATAGTTACAAAAAATAATAAACAGTAGTAATGAAAATATATAATACTGGGAATGAAAGAAATACAAATGTTAATGATATATAAATGATACTGACTGATAAGAAATAGAAAAAAGTAAAAATATGAAATAAAATAAAAGAGAAGAAAATATAATTAACATTTAAAATTTCATAAGAGTAGAACTATTTAGATGAAAGTATGTTGTATATTGATAACACTAAGAACGCCTAGGCTATGGATGAGGCGATTTTCTAAAGCGAGACGCATAGTATGATCACCAGAGCAAGATTTTAATGATGTGACAGATATATCATCTTTACCTCTGTGGTCAGAGCTATTAAAATGGAGAGGGATTGGTTTAAGTGTCTTTTTGTCAATGTAGGAGAGGTGTTCCCGGAAGCGATCAGCTAGCTTCCTGCCAGTTTCCCCAAAAAAGCACAGAACATTGGTTATGTTCGATACTCATGTACAGATGGTCTGAAACCATCAAATCCCTAAATGGTTGCATTTAGCAGCATGATTGTTAGTGGGCTGTGGGTTTATTTCCTCCCCCCCCCCTTTCCCCCCTTTTCCTGGCCACATATGGCCCTGAAACAGACATGGGGGAAATAGGGTTACTGGTCTTAGCTTTCATTATAAGACTTGGTAACACACAGACAATAAGACTTGGTAACACACAGACAATAAGACTTGGTAACACACAGACAATAAGACTTGGTAACACACAGACAATAAGACTTGGTAACACACAGACAATAAGACTTGGTAACACACAGACAATAAGACTGGTAACACACAGACAATAAGACTTGGTAACACACAGACAATAAGACTTGGTAACACACAGACAATAAGACTTGGTAACACACAGACAATAAGACTTGGTAACACACAGACAATAAGACTTGGTAACACACAGACAATAAGACTTGGTAACACACAGACAATAAGACTTGGTAACACACAGACAATAAGACTTGGTAACACACAGACAATAAGACTTGGTAACACACAGACAATAAGACTTGGTAACACACAGACAATAAGACTTGTTTGATTCACGTATTTGTCTGAAGTTGCTGATGAAGGTTTGTTTGCTTGGTTAAGGAGTGGATGTGCTGACTCTGCTGGAGACAGATGCCTCTAAACCTTTCCTTGGCAACAATGACCTGGCTACATGGCTGGCAGAAAAACTCAACTTCTACGTGGACTTTGGACCTTCAACTAAGGATCACACATGGGGGTAAACCATAAACTAATTACATTTCTTATGGACCTTCACCTAAGGATCACACTTGGGGGTAAATTGTATATTAGTTTATTTTGGACCTTCACCTAAGGATCACACTTGGGGGTAAATTGTATATTAGTTTATTTTGGACCTTCACCTAAGGATCACACTTGCCGGTAAATTGTATATTAGTTTAATTTATTCTGGACCTTCACCTAAGTTGCACACTTGGGGGTAAATTGTATATTAGTTTAATTTATTTTGGACCTTCAGCAAATGATCACACATGTGGGTAAATGACATACTAGTTTCATTTCTTTTGACTTCCACATATTTCCTAGTGTTGCGAAAGCTCGTTTTGCATTTGATTTTGTTATTGTTAGTTTTTGTTTCTTTTTTCTTTTTTTTTTGTAGAAGGGGGGGGGGGGGGGGGGTCTTCTTCTTCTGCCTTTCTATCCCCCAATGGAGCATAGGCCCTCAACCAACTCACGCCAAGTCGTTCTATCCTTCGCCATTACCTGGAGCTCTCCCCATGTCCTCCCAATCTTTCTAACCTCATTCTCCAGCTCTCTTCTCCATGTGTTTTTTGGCCTTCCTTTATTCCTATGCCCCTGTGGGTTCCAATGCAAAGACATTCTAGTTATGCTGTTCTCCTGTTTTCTCAGTGTGTGCCCTATCCAACGCCAGCGTCTTTTCCTCACCTCCTGATCCACTGAAGCCTGTTTAGTTCTCTCCCAAAGTTCTACATTAGTTATTCTATCATACCATTTTATTTCCTCTATTCTGAGCAGGCACCAGTTAATGAATGTCTGTAATTTATTAGTAATTGCTTTCGTTGTTCCCCTTTTATTCCGCCCCATACAATAGTACTGATTTGACATTAGAATTAAAAATTTTTAATTTAGTATTTCTTTTAATTTCTTTTGACCTCCATAATGGGGGGGGGGGGGGGGGGGGGGGGGGGGGGGGGGGGGGGGGGGGGGGGGGGGGGGGTACCTATCTAATTTCCCAGCTTTGTCCACATTGCCACTATAATATGTGTATGCCTGCACGTCTAGAAGCAGGATTTCACCAATGGAGATAGGTTGTTGTTTATTTATAATCACTTGATCTTTAACAATGCAAGTTAGTAGGGTTCAAAAATAAACACACAACGTAAGACTGGGATACCTAAAACCTTAGTAGCTGTGGAGGGAAAAATACTTTGTTGTTTGCAGAGATAGAATAGCAGACTTGTTTACTGGCAGGCTTGAACATAAGCCTCTCCCATATCACAGCTGTTAGTTTAGCTGATTCAAAGGAAATCGACCCATTTCCTTATTAAAGTAGAAATGACAAAATCAAGAAATGACTTTACAGCACTTGGGACATTCCCACACATGCTTCGTCCCCTTCTTCAGTAGCCAGCGAAGAGTCGACGTACCAATTGTACCACATGCAAGCTGATTAAAAGTCCACCTATGTTTCCATATTAGAGATTGTTGTTGTCAGTTAATTGTGTGGAAGAATGGGTTTTTAATCTGTTAGTTTGTTGTTTGGGTGTTTGCGTAGTTTGACAGTAAAGTGCTTGCATCTGTAGGTCAGGTTATTGTATGGAAAAAGGATCATCTCCATGGAAACTGTGACAGAGCTCTTCAAATTCACAAACCAGCAAGGTTTGCAGTTCTGATACTGGAACTTCATTTTTGTAAAGAGACGGCAAATGAGGATGTAACCAGGTTAATATTAAACACAGTACTTACAGACTATGAGACACTTGAAAGATGGGGGATGACGTGTCAGGAAGTACTTGTGATGGTAGATTTGGAGGTCAGCCTCCACTACAGCATAAAAATGTGTACAAGGAAGACATGAATGATACAGGTTTTGAGGTGAATTCTGAGGTGAGGGTCTGAGAAGAAACACATTAAACTCACACTGTTGAATGTTCCTGAAATCCCATGCTCTAATTTTGTTACACTCTTCTTAATGCAAGTGGGTCTTGCTAGTCACATTCACCCTTGCCTTGGGCGGTGATTTTCCTGCCTGTCTATAGCACAATAAAACAGTCCACTGACAACTAAGAGGATGGACAGATGCCAGCATACTTACAGCCTGACTGCAATAAGACCTAATGTTGTTCGTCCATCACAAGTGATGATGACTACTCTTTCTTTCATCCGTCAAGAAACTGATTCCTCCATGGTGTTAGTTCTTTGTCAGTGGACTCCATCCTGAAGCCCAGATGGGAGTAGATTAGAGATATAGTACTGGGTGGTAAGGAGATTCCTACACAGAACTGGCAGGCATGTACCTTTGTATGTATGGCGGATGATACCAAATGTTCTGTATATCACTTATTGCATGCTTTCATTATTTCCTATTTTCAGGAATTTGATCTTATCAAGGTATCCGATTGTAAAATCAGTCCACCATCTGCTGCCGTCCCCACATGGTACGTTGTTTGTTTTTAGTATTGCACTGCCACCCTCTGGGACTGATTTAAAGAGGTTAGCTCATTGGGCAGGCTATAAGTTCAACCTGCTGAGTGCCTTAATGAACTTGGGTAGGAGAGGTCAGGATTGCCCCGAAGGTCACGGGTTTAAAGGCTTATTTTTCTCCAAAAGTGACCTTATCTTGGCTAACAGGTCAGCTCAGTTTTGCATGAGTACTCGGTATTATCCTGGGAAATAAAGACAAGATTTTTACCACATCACCCACTGAGTGACTTTTGGCCTTTAAAAAGAAATTGGTCTAGTACAGGGGTGGAAAGTCAGGCAAACTGGCCCGCAGGCCAAAACTTGCTTGCCAAGTTCATTTTCTGGCCCGTAAAGCTCATGTAAAAGTATTAGATAATCTGGCCATTGAGTTCACATATTAGCAGAACACGAAAACATGCATTTGTATGCAGAAATTTTTAAAAAATCCATATATCAACATCAACAACAACAAAAAATAACCTGAACAGGGTAAACCAGAAACCGATGCTACCAGATCTGTGACCCTGCTAGTGAAAAACACAAAAAATGTCAGTTACGAAAAAATCTGGCTGTTATGTTTATAATTGCATTTTTTCTAAATGGCAAATGACCAGGCTGGTCATTTCTAGATTTGGTCTCCAGACCCCAAAAAAAGTTTGCCCGCCCCTGGTCTAGATGCTATATCCAGTGGACCACCAGTGGTAAAAAGGTTCTTTACATTTTTTTTAAATTTTTGCAGTCAAGATCAAATACCCACTGCAGTAAGAACAAGAATTGAAATGATCTGTCTAGAATCTGTAATATTGTTTAGGTGCAACATATTGACAATAAACATGACTAGCTAAGAAATCTCAAAGCAGCAGAAATGTTCATTATGAACAAACAGAAAAAAAAATACAAAGAATAACATGGACTGACCTAAAAACAAAGAAGGTACTTTCCAAGAAATAAATCAACCATAAACTTATTGGAGAAGTTAGATGTGGGCGGCCAAGTTTTTTTTTGTTTTGTTTTTTGGGCCATATCATTAGGAGAAATAAACTTGAAAATTTTGTGACAGGCAAAATTGAAGGCAAAATTGAAGGTAAAATTGAAGGTAAAATTGCAGGCAAAATTGAAGGTAAAATTGAAGGTAAAATTGAAGGTAAAATTGAAGGTAAAATTGAAGGTAAAATTGAAGGTAAAATTGCAAGGAGAAACAAGACTTATTGACCTGGGTGTTTTGGCTACATAATGTTTTTTGGCATAAGAACACTGACCTGGGAGACATATAATACTGAGATGAGAAAATTAATGATGTGCATGTGCTGCGCTTGTTTACAGCATAGCTGCAGTATTTGCGCTTTTCGGCCGACACATCTGACTTCTTTGGGCATTTGTTATCTGTCAGCCTCGCTGGTGACAAATCTGAAAAGCAGTGGCTGCCACATGTTTTTTTAAGGATAAAGTGAAGGACCATTTTTACCCCTTTGTTGCATTAGGTATATAGGGCTAGACCTGTATTTTTATAGACCAGTCACTTGATGGGTGATGTGGCCAGTATCATGCCAGCTGCCTTTATGTCCCAGGACATTACCTGCTACCCGGTTTAGGTTGGACTGAAATGGGAGCCAGGATCAGCTCTGAAAATAAAAATCCGTCTTGACGTGGATTTGAATCCTAGATGCTTTGGCCAGCGGTGAAACTAAGGGTGACTGCAGTCAAGCTAATACCAAGAAATTATTCAAGTGAACTGTGACTTAGAAGCTTAACGAAATGGCGAAGCAGAACAACGTGCACAAAACAAAACAAATCAGTGTTTCAGCTAGGGTTCTTCTTGACACAAACTAAACTTAGGCCAGCAGGTAAGCATCTGCCTGCTGTTCTACCGCATGTTTCATCTGATCAAATAGTGATTATGAATATGTGAATTTTAGATTTCACAACCATCTGGCAGTCCTGGAGCTAGTCGTGGGATTAATGGTTATATATAAATGATTACTTACTAAATAACTAAGGTGATTTATTGTAGAGTTGATTTATTGTGATTTTACTGTCTTGATGGTTACCATAAACTGTGATTTATAGACATGATGAACACCATGTATACCTTCTTCTCAACTTACAACCATCTTAGCTACTACAGAAAAAAAAAATTTAGCAATTAGAGAAAGTTAACTAACTACATTTGTAGGCTAAACTAGTTCCTGCAACTGGTGCAACAGAGTACATGTTATGTATTTTTCACATTATGTACAATAATTATATGTACATAAATTAAAATTGTTTATGTACAATTTTTTTAACCAGTTGGAATGAAAAAAATGTTTTAAAATAGACGTTTGATGTGACGACCAGTTCGACTTAGGAACTGTTAGTAGGAAGGGAACTCGATCGAAGTCAAGAAGACCCTGTGGTGTGATTTTCTTAGTGCTGACCATTGTATACTGTGATTTACTGTCATGATGTCATGTAATGTTATCACACTGTGTAATGTGGTTTACTGTCATGATGTCATATAATGTTATCACACTATGTTATGTGGTTTACTGTCATGATGTCATATAATGTTATCACACTGTGTTATGTGGTTTACTGTCATGATGTCATATAATGTTATCACACTATGTTATGTGGTTTACTGTCATGATATCATGTAATGTTATCACACTGTGTTATGTGGTTTACTGTCATGATGTCATATAATGTTTTCCCACTGTGTAATGTGGTTTACTGTCATGATGTCATATAATGTTTTCCCACTGTGTAATGTGTTCACTGTCATGATGTCATATAATGTTTTCCTACTGTGTAATGTGGTTTACTGTCATGATGTCATATAATGTTATCCCACTGTGTAATGTGGTTTACTGTCATGATGTCATATAATGTTTTTCCACTGTGTAATGTGGTTTACTGTCATGATGTCTTGTAGTGTTATCCCACTGTGTAATGTGGTTTACTGTCATGATGTCATATAATGTTTTCCCACTGTGTAATGTGGTTTACTGTCATGATGTCATATAATGTTTTCCCACTGTGTAATGTGGTTTACTGTCATGATGTCATATAATGTTTTCCCACTGTGTAATGTGGTTTACTGTCATGATGTCATGTAATGTTTTCCCACTGTGTAATGTGGTTTACTGTCATGATGTCTTGTAGTGTTATCCCACTGTGTAATGTGGTTTACTGTCATGATGTCATGTAATGTTTTCCCACTGTGTAATGTGTTTTACTGTCATGATGTCATGTAATGTTTTCCCACTGTGTAATGTGGTTTACTGTCATGATGTTATGTAATGTTTTCCCACTGTGTAATGTGGTTTACTGTCATGATGTCATGTAATGTTTTCCCACTGTGTAATGTGGTTTACTGTCATGATGTCTTGTAGTGTTATCCCACTGTGTAATGTGGTTTACTGTCATGATGTCATGTAATGTTTTCCCACTGTGTAATGTGGTTTACTGTCATGATGTCTTGTAGTGTTATCCCACTGTGTAATGTGGTTTACTGTCATGATGTCATGTAATGTTTTCCCACTGTGTAATGTGTTCACTGTCATGATGTCTTGTAGTGTTATCCCACTGTATCTATCTATTGTCTTCTTCACTTTTACCGGGTTGCAGCCCAGTGTCGTGGTTTAAAATATTTGTTTTGTGCCTCTCGCGTGATTTGAGTGACAGTTTTCTGGATCTTCTGGCCGTATTCAGCTACTCCATCTATCCATTTTTTCCTGGGTCTTCCTCTGGCCTTTCTTCCCGATGTTCTATTGCAAAAGGCCTTATAGGCAATCTGATCCGGTTGCATTCTTACTAAATGGCCAAACCACTTCATTCTCTGTCTTTCAATATGTTCCATGCATGCTCTTGTTCCAACTTTGTCTCTAATGCTGACGTTTGTGTGTCTCCTCGTGTATTGTTGGTGACTCTTCGGAGACATCGCATTTCACACGTAGTTATTTTTTGCATATGTGATTTGTTCATTGTCCACGTTTGGCACTGATAACATAACATAGGGATAAAAATGCTGTTGATCATCCGTTGTTTGGCTGGTAACGAGATCTTTGGATGACGAAGAAGTGGGGCCAGTTGGTAGTTGACTGCATTGGATCCCACTGTGTAATTCCTGTAAATATCAACATCCCTACAGGAGAACTGGCTCCTGCCATTACAGCCAGTATCAACATCAGCGGCAGTATAGTGGACTTTGTGGTCACTCACATGGGCAACGACAGGGATGTTCTGGACCGAAGGTTGCAGGCCCAGTTTCTAGCCAAAGAGCTGAAGTTGTCGTAAGTAGATGCTGAAGTTGTCGTAGGTAGATGCTGAAGTTGTTGTAAGTAGATGCTGAAGTTGTCGTAAGTAGATGCTGAAGTTGTCGTAAGTAGATGCTGAAGTTGTCGTAAGTAGATGCTGAAGTTGTCGTAAGTAGATGCTGAAGTTGTCGTAAGTAGATGCTGAAGTTGTCGTAAGTAGATGCTGAAGTTGTCGTAAGTAGATGCTGAAGTTGTCGTAAGTAGATGCTGAAGTTGTCGTAAGAAGATGTGATCTCTTTGGTGTCTTAACATTACATTAACTCGCTAACCTGGTATAGTTCATAAGAGCTGTATTTGTTCATTGTGTGAACTTATGTAACTGAGTGTAAACTATTTTTTTTTTTTTTCTTGAAGTACTAGTGTACTGTCATTTGAAGTAGCAAAAATATTGCTCCATATTTATCACTCCTTTCATAAAATGAGTTGATCCAAGTAAAGTTTTAAAAATACACCAGAACAAAATTTCATAAAAATGAAAAGATGATATGATAAACAGATTTTTTCCCCCGTTATGTTCTCTTTCTTCACACAGCCGGAATATCCAATATATTTTCATATTTGTTGCCACTTGTCAAGTGTGTAGCCTTCCATTTGTCGTGACCTCCTAACCTCATTTATTGTCTGTGTGACTTCTTGTGTAGTGCTGTCAATAAATAGGAGCTGGTTTCTTGTATCAGGGCTCTCGTGGAAATAGATCAGTGGTTTTTCTACTTGGAGGGGGGGGGGGGGAGAGAGACAAGCAAGTTTTAAGGGGAGGGGAGATAAGCAAGTTTTAAGGCGAGGGGAGACAAGCAAGTTTTAAGGGGAGGGGAGACAAGCAAGTTTTAAGGGGAGGAGAGACACGCAAGTTTTAAGGGGAGGGGAGACAAGCAAGTTTTAAGGGGAGGGGAGACAAGCAAGTTTTAAGGGGAGGGGAGACAAGCAAGTTTTAAGGGGAGGGGAGACAAGCAAGTTTTAAGGGGAGGGGAGACATGCAAGTTTTAAGGGGAGGGGAGACAAGCAGGTTTTAAGGGGAGGGGAGACAAGCAAGTTTTAAGGGGAGGGGAGACAAGGAAGTTTCAAGGGGATAGTGGTGAGGAACCAACAGTCTGCACACAAATAGGTCAGATCTGTAAAACAGTGTGCATGCAAAACTCAAGTTCTGGAACAAGACTAAAGTTCATAAGTGGATGAACAACCAGTATATTCCGCTGAAGTTCATAGCTGGTGAATGCTAAGAAGAAGAAGGTTTTAATCTTCATATTTTGTAAAGTTTATAGTTTTATATCTCCCATACATTACACAAGCACCTGGTTGTAGTCATCAAACTTGTTTGTTTATTCTGTTTCCTAATTAACCTTAGGCCAAATCCTGCTGTATTTCTGGGCTATGTGACCTCTGCCCCAGGAAGTGAAAATTACTATCACCTGCTCACTGAAGGTCAAGTCAGAGACATTGACCCTACAGACTCGGATCGTTGGTGCGAGTATATCATGTACAAGAAACTTATACGGTCAGTTAGATTGACGTTTTCTGTCATCTTATTTGTTTGTTAGTGAGTTTATTGTTTAATGTTTAGGATGACTAAGAGAGTTCCAAAGCATCATGGGCTGACTTTGGGAGTTGTAAAGCAAAAACATGTACTGACTTTCAAAATGGGCTGATTTGTGAAGTTGCAAAGCAGCAACATGGGCTGACTTTTGAAGTTGTAAAGTAGCAAGATGGTCTGACTATAGAAGTTGTAAAGCAACAGCACAGGCTAATTATGGGAGTTTTAACAGCTTTGATTGATTTTGTTGTACAGCAACAGCATGGGCTGACTTTGGGAGTTGTAAAGCAACAACAGGGACTTACTTTGTAAAGCAGCAACATGGGCTGACTTTGGGAGTTGTAAAACAACAGCATGGGCTGTCTTTTGGGGTTGTACAACAACAACATTGGCTGCCTTTAGCCCACTGAGGAAAACACTGGGGTAACGGTAGGAAGCTAAAGCAGACTGTCTGTCTTGTAAGTGAGAAGGGGGAGGGAGGGGGGGGGGGGTTGAGAGAAAACAAAGAACTAAGTCACATTCATCATCATCACATAGCAAGTTCTTGGCAGAATGTTGCTTTAATCACAACCCATCACAATAATTCTTGTTCCTTTGCCAGTTTCCCTGCCTGATGTACTTTTATGCCTGAAGTGGCTTTTGTATTTTTAGTATACCTTTATGCTGGTCAGCTCATGTCTCTTTATCTAGGATCGATGACTTCCATTGCTGCTTCTTCTTCTTCTTCTGCATTTTCAACCCTTGAGATTCATTGCTGCAGATATCAGCCCCCTTTCATCTCTGTGACTGGCTTTTTTCCAATTCACTACTCCAAGTGTTTGTAGGATGTTTGTTTAAATCCATCAGAACTTGAGGCTTTAGATATCTGTTTCATGGTAAAATGAGGTTTTACGAAGGGAGCTGTCAACCGCACACTTCAGCCCAGGAACCTGGGTGTTTGTCTCTGTCTGTTCTCTACCATTTGACCTGTATGGCATGAGAGGCCTTACTGAAAGCATTGCTGTTGCCAGCAGGGTTCTTCGAGTTGTTGAAAAACACAGGCTGACCCATTACTGTTGTTGCTAATTTCCTTCCTTTCTTAGCAGTCATCCACTGTAAACTCTGATAGAAATTTCTGGTTGTTCATCCACTTTCAGACTTTGATCTTGTTCCAGAACTTGAATTTTGCTTCCACATCTGTTTTACAGATCTGGCTCTGTGCAGACAGTTGGTTGCTTGGGAGCATCCTTAATTAGTTGACTTTTTAAACATTCCTTATAGCCGGACAGTGAGTCTTTTCTTTCTTCCCCAGAATGGAGCTCCGGAGCCCACATGGCGAGTTCTTGCTGAATGACTATAACATTTAATGTGATAAATGAATGTTTTAATTTCTGAAATATGAGGCTGTTTCTAGTGAAGCGGTTGCCGTTCATGTTTAGATCTGATAAAGCGAGGGTTACTGTAAACATTTTTGTGTGCAATATTGCAGACTAGGGTATGCCAGGATTAGTCATGGTGGCTTGAGTGATACAGAAGTACAACTGGCAACCTTTCGTATACCTCCTGAGCCAGATCATTTCAGAGACAACAAAAAGACAACAATCCTTCCGGAAAAACATGGCATTGACACAAATATACTCTTCAATAAAAGGTTATTTATTTATTTCAGTCCGTCTCATAATTTATGTGTTTTTTTTTCTTGCTCTTTCCCCTTGTTATTTCAGTTATACACCCAGTATTTAAAAAATAAAGATACTGGGTTCAGAACTGGCTTTAAGCTTGGTGAAACCTGGCCACCTACATGATAAAACCAGACCCCACAATGACAGCTTGTAAACCAAAAGAATCTCCAGCAGGCTATAATTGTAGCCATGTTTTTCAGTAGACCTGTTGCATAATGATGATGAAGTATTTGAATGTCTCTTAGGTTAGTTGCGTATCCTTTACAGGATGTTGCAGAACCAACCCCAAAAGCCCCTGGTTGTTGTGTGGTTTTTTTTTTAGACAAATTAACATCCAGTAGTTTGCCATTGCTTTCTGGACGGTCGGCTTTCTTGATACCACTGTCGAAACCAACGCCAGGCATTTAATGTCTCTACTTAACCATAATTAGTGATTATCAGTTGTATCCTCATTTGTTGTTCTCAGATAGGCTGAGGCAACTGGATTTGTACACATGACTGTTTAGTTTAGCTTATGTCTAAATCTGTGCTAGCACTCGCATTAAACAAGAATTTAATGTCCCTGTACACAATGTGATAGAAGATAACTAAACAGTTTAACCCTCTCACTCTGTGAACACTAAAACAAATGGGTCTCGACCCTGTTTGAATTCCTGAACAAATTCTTTTTAAATGACAACAATTTTTACAGAAGTTACTATTAATTCATTCAAAATGTATTTATCTACCTTCTCTCCAAAATATTTGTAATGGGTGGCTCATCCCGTGACCCCTTGACCTTTATCACTGAGACCTTTGGGAAAATTTGACATCAGCTTAGCTTTACAAAAGCTATTGGTTCAAAAGAACAAATCCTCTAAATACTATTTTTAGTTAATATCTTCATATCCTGACCTCCTAAACGTTTGTGCAGGCACAGACTCAGCCAATAGCCTTAACTGTGTGTGTCTCATAAACAGGTCACTATAAACAAGTCAGAAAAGTGACATTTGTGGGGAATGGGACTCAGTCGAAAGTGCCTATTTTGCTGCTTCATGAGGGGAAAGGGCTAAAAAAAAATTAAATTAACAAGGGCTAAAAAAAATTTAAATTAACAGCAAAGAAATTAACCTTATAATAATAAGTCATGATTTTATTGTCTAAATATTTATAATAATTCTAGTAGGTGGCTTACATAGGGTTAATACAACCTTCTAGTTAAGACATATTCATTAGGTCTAAAGATTGTACCCCTGTTCTTTGATATGACAAGAAACTCACTGTAACTATGTCCTTTGATGTGCAGGTTTGGCACGTATTACAGCGGACATGGCTTCTTTGAAGGACATGGGTTCCACATGGACACACCAAAATATTTCTACAGTGAAAATAAAAAAGGAAATCCTTGAGTGATGATGCTTTCATGTTTTCTTCAGGCAGCCCGGATGTTGAACAGACATATCTGACTGACTGACTGCAGACTTGGTCTAACACAGTGATTTTATTTATATTTTTTTTTATAGCTTTATTTTCTACATTTCTCAGTCTTTATATAATCTTCTTTATTATTTGTTGTAAACTAACATGCAATTATTCCAAATGTTATTTTCCCAAAACTGTATCTAATTCTGTTCTAATTATTAGGAAAAGTAATCAGCTTTTGGCAAATTGTGAACATTTTTTAACCCACGCCATCAGCAGTCGTACTGATGCTGCTACAAAAAACAGTTTCTTCAATAAACCTCAAAAATTATGCAGAAGCACTAATAGGACAGGTAGTTGTCATTGTTGAAATTAATTACATTTAGATTTAGAACTCTTGACTTGTGTAATTAAAATATTGTCTTCATTTTATATGTACTGATATTTATAAATCATATCAGGGACAAATAATGACTCATTAACTTCTGATGCCGCAGCCTATTGTGATATTAACTTCTTTGGTATCAGCGTATTGTGACATTAATTCCTTCTCCATTTTGTTGTGACGTTTATTTACTTTTTCTCCTACAGTTATCTGACATTAGTTTCTCCCATCTTTCTGTGACATTTTCCTCTTTTCTCCCACCATTTGTTTCTCTTCTTGTTTCCCCACAAATATGGTGCCGCAAACCATAGCAGACTGCAGTACAATCATGTGTTGGTCTGTTAATAACCTGGGTTCAGCCCTATATGCCCGGTGTTTAGGGTGACCATTTCGTCGGGACAGTAGGTTTTTTAGGCAGGCCCAGAACGTACTCACCACCAAAACAGTACCGTTGTTCCAGTCGACGATGAGTATCGACAGGATGGCTTAAGTAGGAATACCAACAGTTCATTCTCTACTGAAGCAAAGATGCCTGCTCTGGTTCTCACATGTTTCCCATATAGAGGACGGTTGTATTCCAAATGATTTTCTGTATAGTGAACTGGAAATAGGGAAAAGAACTGCAGGAAGGCCAAAGCTACGCTATAAGGACATATGTAAATGCAGCCTGAAAGATGCCAACATTGACACAGACGCTTGGGAGAGATCAGCTGCAGACCGACTCCTGTAGAGGCAGACAGTGAAAGATGGACTGTCACAGTTCGCAAGAGGCCTGACACAGCAAGCTATAGACAGGACTGTTCGGAGAGAAAACCAACCGCAGTATATTTGAGTATTAATGTTTTTATTTAGTCTTAAATACTGCCGCTCCCACATTGGACTTTTCAGTCATAGCAGACGCTGTTTTCCAAACCAGCGACACATCCCTGTGGTCCCTATATACCGACGGTAGCCTACTATACTGAGTTGTTGAGACCACGAAACTTTCTTATACATCTATGTTATTTTTGCTGTTATTATTTATGTATAAACTTGCCAAAGTTTTAATGTTTTCTAGATTTATTTGTGATCAAAATTATCTATAACGTTTGGTGATGGTAACATTTTCTTGATATTTCACTTTATTGATTGTAATAATTGTTAACTTGGCAGCCATTGCTTTCATGACACCAGATTTCATGTGGTTAATCATTTCAGATTTCATGTGATTTGTCAGTTTTATAATGTACCCAGCAATTCTGTGTATGATTAACTCTTGTTATACCTCCGACTGCTTTACACTGTTAGGTTTCAGCTCAACAACATGGCCGCAAGCCATTGCGGGTGTCATTTGTAAGATTGATATATTTGTTTACAAAAAGATTTAACGTTGATTGAAATAGAGAGTTTATATTTATTGTTTACCTGTACACTTTCAGACTTTTCTAATTATTATATGGTTGTCAGAATTTAATTGCGTTATTAGTTTGTGTGACAGTCAAGAGGTTAATCAGACTGAAGTCAAGGTTCCAGCCTCATTGCAGACAGATCTTCCCTCAGGTGTCAGCAGTTATGTAACATGGGGGTCTCCAAGGTGAAATGGTTAAGCCGTTTGCCTCACACTCTGAAGGTCATGAGTTCATTTCACGTCTGCATCATTCGTTTCATAGGTCCGGTTTGTGCATGACACTCTCTGCAGGCGGGTAATCATTCTGTGCAGAGAGAACGAGCCATATATTATAACACCCGTTGCAATGATGTCGATTCTTTCACTTTTAACCTTTTAAGCTTTAGTTATGCAACAGTCGAGAAGTAGGTTATTGGAGATTTTGAGTTTTAAAGTCCGTTTTTTTGTGTGGTTTTTTTTTTCAAACTCACAGTCTGTGGGGTTTTTCCTCTTTGGGTCTAGTATATTTCCTTCTTTAAGTTTTTGTCAACAGTTGAATTTTGAAGGTTGATTGTTTTCAGGTTCTTGTGTAATATTACTTAATCACATATTTTAAATATCTAACCAGGATAAAATATAACCAACATGTGGTAGCAGTTATTGTCATGTTATAACAAAGGCCTGGAACTACGAGCCCTTAGAAAGGGACCTAACATTCTTTGAGATTTGAGTTGTAAAGGTCAGGTGTTTGGATATTTCATGGCACTTCAGTATATCAGATCCACATGTGGGTTTTGGGGCCCTAATATAGGGCAAACAAGAATAGACCCACTGCCTACCCAAAAGCATGTTGTAAAAGTCGACTAATTGGGAGCTTCCTTCGAAGTCGGAGTGCATCTGCCTGAGAGGCGAGAAACCAACAGTTTGCATACAAGTTAGTCAGATCTGTCAAACGGATGCACACGCAACACTCAGGTTCTGGAACAGGACTGCAGTCCAGAAGTGGACGAACAGCTAGAACTTTCCACGAGAGTTTACAGCTGGTGAACCCGAAGAAGAAGAAGAAGTATATCAGAGCATGTTTGTGTGATTTAAGTTATTGAGGGCAGACTTATTTGACAGTGCTATAAGTTCAGTACATCAGTGCATGTTTTTGTGGTTTGAATCATTGAGGATAGATCTGTTAGACATTTTAGTGCTTTAGTTCAGTACATCATAGCATGTTTTTGTGGTTTGAATCATTGAGGATAGATCTGTCAGACATTTTAGTGCTTTAGTTCAGTACATCATAGCATGTTTTTGTGGTTTGAATCATTGAGGATAGATCTGTTAGACATTTTAGTGCTTTAGTTCAGTACATCATAGCATGTTTTTGTGGTTTGAATCATTGAGGATAGATCTGTTAGACATTTTAGTGCTTTAGTTCAGTACATCATAGCATGTTTTTGTGGTTTGAATCATTGAGGATAGATCTGTTAGACATTTTAGTGCTTTAGTTCAGTACATCATAGCATGTTTTTGTGGTTTGAATCATTGAGGATAGATCTGTTAGACATTTTAGTGCTTTAGTTCAGTACATCATAGCATGTTTTTGTGGTTTGAATCATTGAGGATAGATCTGTTAGACATTTTAGTGCTTTAGTTCAGTACATCATAGCATGTTTTTGTGGTTTGAATCATTGAGGATAGATCTGTTAGACATTTTAGTGCTTTAGTTCAGTACATCATAGCATGTTTTTGTGGTTTGAATCATTGAGGATAGATCTGTTAGACATTTTAGTGCTTTAGTTCAGTACATCATAGCATGTTTTTGTGGTTTGAATCATTGAGGATAGATCTGTCAGACATTTTAGTGCTTTAGTTCAGTACATCATAGCATGTTTTTGTGGTTTGAATCATTGAGGATAGATCTGTTAGACATTTTAGTGCTTTAGTTCAGTACATCATAGCATGTTTTTGTGGTTTGAATCATTGAGGATAGATCTGTTAGACATTTTAGTGCTTTAGTTCAGTACATCATAGCATGTTTTTGTGGTTTGAATCATTGAGGATAGATCTGTTAGACATTTTAGTGCTTTAGTTCAGTACATCATAGCATGTTTTTGTGGTTTGAGTATGAAATGAAATATTAAACCGGTGTGTCACACAGCTGCTGCAGAACAGATAAACACATTCCTCACACAAGTGCCTTGTGACATTTTTACAAATAACATCACTGCACATTTGGCTCTCACATGAGTGCTCCTTCCGCAGGCACAGCAGCCATCCCTAGTTACCTCTACCCACTGTTCCTGTGAGAAGTTGATTAGAATATCTCTTGTCCTGACTTTGAAGTTGGCTGTGAAGTGCTTGGCCAGGTTTTGCTGCTAGGGCCCTTAGTTAGACTGGTATCATGTTATGTGCCTCATTATTGTCTGGACTGGCTTTGTAATACACTACTTTTAATATAATAATTTATTAATATTAATGTTTAATTGATCTATTTAATATAATAATTTGATCTATGCCAAAAAAAAAAAATTCTTTTTAAACAGCATTTTTGTTTAATTAATAATATTTAATGTTTAATAGCAACCACAGGAGCCACATCTATTGCAGGGCTAGACACTTGCCTGCGGATCCGAAGGCCATTTGTTCAGGCCCTGGCGAAGCCTGATTTTTTTTTTTTTTCAAAACTGACCTTGGTTTCCAGGTCGACCTAGCCTTAAATGGATACCAGATAAAATCCTGGGAAGTAAAGGCGGTCAGTATCATGTTGACCACCTTATCTACCAAGTGCTGATTGGTCTGTAAAATTGATATCTAGCCCTATATGCCCAATACAACTGAGGGTGAGGAAAAGAGTCCTTTGAATGGTAACCACAGTAGCACAATAGCTGATTTGCTTTCCTGACATCCTCGTGTCATGGGTGTCTTCTTACTCTTCACATTCACCGACTGTAAACTCTGGCGGAAAGTTCTGGTTGTTCCTCTTCTTCTGGACTTTGGTCTTGAACCAGAACTCTAATTTCATGTGCACCTTTGTTTTATAGATCTGGCTTATTTGCATGCAGACTGTTGGTTCCTTATCTCTCAGGCAGATGTATACCAACTTTGAAGTTTGAGGTTTGAACAACGGATCAACATCATGGCACACGGGTAATAACCCATAAGTGGTCCGTTCTTCTAACTCAAGTCTGAGTCCGAAGAAGCTCAGCACAGTGCACAGGCTCTGTAGCACCGGCAGGGATCCTGAA